GTATTTCACTGTTCTTTGAATTATTTTTGATAGAAATACCGTAGAGATCTGTGGTTTTCACTATTCAAGAGAGAAAACCTGGGGCCATCGTAGTACATTGACATTTGATTGGTTAGAAGTTCACTAATCAGGTGAGTTTCGGATAAAGGAATGACTTCAGAATATCGTTTACGAAAATCTCCATCAAGCAATCAACTGCTTGGTCTTTTGTTAACCGATCCAATTTCGATGGCCCGAAATCTTCTTTCTTGAATGGTGAAAACCGCAAATCCCTATGAGATTCCTACTGCAAATTATTCAAAAAACAGTGGATCAAGAGTTTTATTAAATATAATTCAGACTAGTGATCTCAATCGAATGAGTCTCACCTAGTTTATTGAGCCCTCTGATTCAAACTTGAAAGATTAACTTCGTAGAGAAAGAGTTTGTAGAAGATGAGAAATCATTTATACATTCGAATCAATCGATGTTTTAGATATTGTAGATAAATGTGACCGAAAAAATTGAATTTCAAGGGAAAATATACTTAAGCAGAACAAATAATTTTCTTTTATTAAAAATTTTAATTTTAATTTCCATAGCAAAAACATTGTGAATACTTGTTTCTTTTTTAATTAAATAAAATAGAGTATTCATTTTGACTTATTAATATGCTAATGTATGCATGAATGATTTCTTATGCTTCGACAACCAGAAAATTATTTTTGACACTATCTTAATGAGCAAACTAATCAACATAAACCTCTTGTCATAATTCAAGCTTCTAAAATAGTCAAGTATTCGAATATCTTAGATACAACTTGAGTGCGAAAATTCCCAAAAAGAAGGCTCACATATCCATGCTATATCGAGCAGAACAAATATAAATATGTTAATTTGTATTCATGCTCAAATACCTGTTTTCAGACATGAGCAAAAAACAAAAGGGATTTCTAGAAATTATTCTTAATCATGACCATTTAACGAGATGAAAGCCTTAAAGGCTTTTAATATGGAGGATGAAGTGGTTTAATCATTTTTTTGAGAATCAAATTTCGAGAGAAAACATTTACTCTTCTCAAACAGGCTCTGAATGAGTCAATGAGTGAGGAGATCAATTGGAAGATTTTTTCTCAAGTTCACCAGATTTCGGATAGAAGATTGAGCGTTCTTCTTGTCAATTAATGAGCTAAAACCAACAAAAAGCTAGAACTTCACTGAGAAAAAAACGAAAATTTTTCATGATTGAGAGGCATTCATTTCTGATTATTCTACGATAGAGAATGCATAGGTTAAAAATTTCTTCATTTTTTTTTTCATTAGAACATGACTCAATAAAACTTTCAATATAATGTTTTCACATTTTAAATGTAATTTATGAGTCAAATTAAATTCGAATATAAAAAATAAAGTGATAGACAATATTACTCAAATATACATAAACTTTGACCTTGTTTCTTGTTGTTTTTTGTTCAGAATTTTATACGACATAGTAAATTTCAATTGAGAAATGTTTACGAATTCTATTACTTCGTAGATTCCATTAAAGTTAAATATAATATAATATACGTATATAATATTAATTTTTTTATTTACATCTATTTCGTATGAGAATAAAAATGGGTTAATATAGCAGTTCAGATAAAAAAAGACTTGCATTTTTTAAATAAGCTATTGATAAGCAATGACGACGCAAAAAATTCAAAATTAACTCTGATCTTTTTCTCATGAGTCATATGAGTTCGATATTGTCATTTGCTCTATTCTCATAGTACATATATAGAAAAGAAAAAAAAGGCTATTTCTACTGAGATATAAACACAGATGATTCAACGTTTTCTAACCTCTTTATGGTTAAATATAATTGTTTCATGGTTTAGTATCACAAACTAATCAACATATAATCTTTTTCATTTATTTATCAAAAAAAAAAAAGGAAATAATTTCAATGTGTGACAGTGTCATGAGAAATGATGATTAATTGAAAGAAAAAACTAATTATTGCGAATTGTCCGTGAATATTCTGATTAATTTCAAATTCCTTCCAATTTCTGATGATTGATTAATAATACGAGTCATGATGTAAATATTTTCAACAAACTTTCTCATGTCAATGACATTTTATAGTTAGTAAAATTAATTACTTGGAAACAAAAAAAACAATAGTTTTATTTTGAAAATGCGGAAAAAGTCAAAAATGTTTTTGTTTTTTATTAAGACAAAATAATATTATTGACTCAAATTGAATAAGGTGTAAATAACTAATGAACTTTCTCATTTGTTCGAACATGAATTTCTATACATAATAAAAGAAAAAAACATGACAGAATAGAAGGTTATAAAAAGAAATAAGTTTTGATTGACGCAATTTCATTGGTTATTAATGACTCAAGTACATAGCAAATATATCTCTACAAGATAATAATTTTTTACGAATGTAACACGTTATACGATTTCCTTTGGGTTTACACAGCATGTCTACTACTTTCTATCGATCGATAACGGAATCTTTATCTTCAACTGTTTGTATAATTGTATGCCTAAAGTCTTTAAAATTGTATACATAAAATTCTTCATCAAACTTATTCATAATAATATCAATTCTAATGAAGACATGTCTTTTTTTTTTTGATATATTGAAGAAGAAATTTAAAAATTGCAATTTCTAATGCATAAAAATCTTCGATAATATAAGCAGAATTTTCAAGAAAGAAAGCTCTAAACAAAATTTGAATCTATTCGAATATTTGCACTAGAAATAGTATCGTATTGATTTAATCAAAACAATCATGGATCAAATAGAATGCTGTTTTTAATGTCATTTGATAGATCAGTTTATTACAATATATCATCAGACAGATTACATAATATGATACTCGAATTTAACAAGATAAAAAAAAAGTAAATGTGCACTCTAGGTCATGTAAATCGTACTTTCTATTAATTCATTATATGTGAATAACCATAAAACATTTCGATTCATAGAAAATGCTCTATTTCTTTGTATTTTTTTTTTCATGCTTATGATTACTTTTGTTAAGTAAGAGTAAATAGTGTCCATAGAAACATAACTGTTGCTGCTATTCAATAGAAACACACAAAGAACACTTTATTATAATAATCATAATTTTCCTTGAAACTACTAAGTATACACATGTATTTTGAATCATACCTTTTTTGCATATGAGAACACACCCACCCGATTCACTCAATTCAATCTAGATTTTTCTATCACATGACGCTGGTAAAGTTTCCTTTTTTTTTTCATATTTGACTACCGTAGTTTGATGCAATGCAAATGACGAGTAGTGTACTGAAAAAAACAAAAATTTTTTTTGGTCTTCTCTTTGCCCACGGTTGAATCGTTGGCTTAATAATTGGATGCAATATCCAAGTAATTATTGAAGTACTGTATTTTTTTAAGCGAAAAAAAAAGTGAAGTATGGTAACGTATAAGTATAAAGTGTGAAATGGGTAAAGAAAAAAAGAAAAAACGAAGCAACAGTATTCGCCAAATAAAATTTATTTTTCTACGTTTCTAAATAAGCGCCCTTCGCCCCATTTGCATTTATTTTGTCACTTGCTGAGTGAATATATATCATACATAAAGAACAACCGTGTATAGTTACACATTATCGCTATCGTCATCGTTTACCTCTTACATCTGATTCTTCTAGAAGTAAGTATACGGGCAAACAAGAAAAGAAAATAAGGTATTTTATAATGACGTTATCGAATAAAGTGAAGCGAGAATTTTCTTTTTCGTTTTCTTTTTGTGCTGTTTGATATCGATTTACGAATAGAATGAATGAAGAGAAGAAGAAGAAGAAAAAATAAAGCAAATGATTGTTTTATTGTGTTATTTATAATTATTCCATATGTATTAGATTATTAAGTAAAAAAAAAATGTGATCAATTTATGTAAGTCTATGATTAGCATAAATTATGCAATCGATGAAATAATTAATAAATAAGTTTTGCACTTTAGTAATAATATCATAAGCTAAATACAAACTATTACCTTTAGAATTGAGTATATTTAAAAGAAATATCTATATTTCAAGTCCATCTATTGGAATTTAAATTTAATGACAATAATAAACAAGGTTAAATCTTGAAAAGAAATAATTTTAATAGTATTCTGACTGATTATTTAAGCAAAGCTCAAGTCTACATTGTTTTTTCTTTCTAATCCTAAGATTCTTCTTTTATAATGGTAGGCAGTTACCATTAAAAAACATACTACATACACTTCAAATATTCCCTCAAAGAAATATGATACAATGTTTTACAAGGCTCAGGTGATGCTTAAATTTTCTGAAGGTTTTTTGTGTAGAAAGAAAGGGGTATGTGGGGATATAAGACACATAAACACTCAAAAATTATCACTATCAACATCATTCCTAAAGCTTTATACCTGCCTTATAAAGCAAATATTTGCAGAAAACTTTCGGGTTTTTATAATCAACAAACTTTTATCTAAGTAAGAACAGTTTCTAGATATTTAATATTACTTTAATCTATAGAAAAATTTAAAAATATTTCCATTTCATCATAAAAAATAATGTCTAATAATTATTCTTGTTTTTTTTTCTTTTTTATTAAATTCTAAAATATCAATGTGAATGTGCGACATCTATACCAAAATTAATTTTTTTCATATTTATACAATTAATGAAAGAAACACAATGATTTTTTGCGTTTCTAAATTAAGCATAGATTAATATGATTAATAATTGTATAAAAATAGGAAAAACGCTTATGATTTTTATTTAGTTTCTTTTTTTTTCTTCTCTGCCCTTGATACCTATATATTGCATCAGTTTTGCAGTAAACAAATAAACATGTCAAAAAAAGAAGAAAAAAGAAACGAAAGCTGAGAAGCTAAGGAAAGAAAAAAAAATTCACTTTTATAATAATAGCAATTCCAATGTGAGTAATAAATGAAAAAACAAAAGAGAAAACATTTTTTTTTTATTTTAAATTTTTTTATATTTGCTTTTTTTTTGTATTTGCAAGGTATGAATCGTGCTCACAATGATCATATTTTGGCAGAAAAAACAATGAATACATATCCTAACGCCGATAAAACTACAAAAAATACGACAACAACAACTAAAAGAGCGCCATTAACAAAAGCATACAGTTGTTCGGATGCATCACCATCACATTCAACTGAGAATTGTGCATTTATAACTCCGAGAGAATTTGTTGAATTAGTTTTTCAAAATTCAAATTCACAAAAAATGCCTATACTTGATTGTCGTTCTCAAATGGATTTCGGTAGTGAACGTATACGTTCATCACATAATATAAATTGTCGAACGAAAATTATGGCAAGAAAATTAACATCAAAACGTTTAGAAGATGTTGAACCGAATTTATCATCATCATTATGTAATTCTGATACGGTTATTCTATATGATCAATCAACAGATGTACGAGCAGAAGAAAAAATGCATTCCCTTCCTATTAATCTTGTTGTACAAGCAGCACAAAAATCAAATAAAAAAGTTCAAATTATTCAAGGTAGAGAAAAAAAAAGACAACAATGTAAGAAAGAAAGAAAGATAAATACATAAATCTTATTATAGGAGGACTAGATGCTGTTAAAACAGAATATCCAGATTTAATTGAATGTCCAACAGAAACATTCAAAGATAAATTCGAACAAGATCTTATTCCCCCACCACCAAGTCCCGATGCAATTGATAAAGAAAATGTTGTTATGACAGAAATTTTACCACATATATTTGTTGGTATGTATTCATTATAAAGAAAAAAATTTCATTATCATGTGATTTTATTTATAAAAAAAAAAAAAAAAAAAAAAGAATTCTCATGAAGACTAATTAAAGCCGATGGAATATGAAACGGCGTAGAAAAGGAAAGAAGAAAAAAGAATCCGTTAGTTGAAATACGCATTATTAACTGACTCACTATGAAAACATTGAGTAATTGAAGGTCGAAGGATAAGATAAAAAAAGATTTTTATTGAAGTCCAAGGTTATCTGACCTCAAAACTAAAAGCAAAACAACATCTTAGTTAATAAAATATAATAATACATTATTTTAGGTAATGCTTTGGATGCACAGAGTCAAGAACGTTTAACTCAGAATGGTATAACACATATTGTTAATTGTACACCTGATTTACCTTTTTACTGGGAAAAAAAATATGAATATATGCGTATAGGTGCACTTGATTCTCCATCACAAAATCTTCGAAAACATTTCGATGATTTCATAGAATTTATTGGTTAGTTTTATATTACTTATTATTTTTCTTCAAACATTAATTTTTTTTTCTTTTTCTTACTAAAATTTAGATAATGCTTTACGTGTAAAAACTAATAATGTTCTAGTTCATTGTTCGGCTGGTATTAGTCGTAGTCCAACACTAGTACTTGCTTATATGATGAAAAAGAATCGTTGGACATTAGATGAAGCATTCGATAAAATGCGTAAATTACGTCAAATAGTTGATCCCAATGTAAGTTTTATTATTCAACTAAGAGAATGGGAAAAAAATACTACACCAACCGTAACAACAACAACAACAACAACAACAGACATGAATGATGATAATTCAGGGACAAATAACAATAATAACACAAGGTCAGCATCAAATACATATTGTGGATCAACTTCAAAAAATAAAACAGATAAAAAAACATGTGCTGATTCTGTTATTATTGTTAGTTGATTTTAACATATTACTTTTATCATGTGTCTTTATCTCAAGAACAATCAACATCAGCAAAAATTAGCTGACAAAAAAAAAACAATGCAATTTTTTTTTCCTTTTCATTTTATTTTTAAATTTGTAAATATTTAACAATGGTTATTAACAATAGAAAATTGAAAAGATGTATTTCATCTTTTCTATAAAAATAACAAAATCTACGTATCATGCTTTATTATTCGTATAATTAGCATTGAGCAGCATTCTTTTTTTCTTTCGTCTTCCATTGTTTCGTTTATTTTTTTATAATTTTGTGTTATTGTTTTCCTTTTGTTTTATTTGTGACTTTATTTTGATCGATCTATTTTTGTATATTACTATCGTAGTGTAATGACTGAGCAAAATGCTATAACATTCACTATAAATTCTCTAAAGACTCTCGTTTGGTTCATATCCGATCATGTAGATGATATTCTTTATTTTGTCATTTTCTTTTCATTTTGTGTAATTTTTCTGCTCGAATATTAATATACGATGACTGTAAGCAAAAAAGAACCTGATGATACTCTTGTTGTTTTACGTTTTTTTTTATTGACAATAATGAAGGACATAGGAAAACGAAAAGGAAGGGTTTGTCAAGATAAATTCGATATAATAAAAAAGAACGAAATTATAAAGATAGGATTTCAGTTCAAATAACAAAACTCATGAATGATTTTCCATAGAGATCTAAGTTTTTTACATTTGAATAGAATATAATGAGAGATATGAATTGATACAAAGTTTCTGAATCTTATTATCATATTAATTTATCAATGAAACCAATATAAATATTAATATATTAATATATATTCAGTTAGAAGAACAAGAACGATTAGAAATGACTTATAATATACTCGATAATTTTATATCGCAAATTTTAAGCATATTCATGTTGTCTTTACGTTCACGTTTGTGATTGTTAATCTTTTTATTCAAATTGACAACTTGATGAATGTTCATTTGTATTTTCTTCACCTATTAACAATAATTTTTAATAAAAAAAGAAAAAAAAAAGAAGCAAATTGAAATATAATATTGTATTTGACTTTTTCACATCTGAATTTCTTTTCACGTACTCAATCATATATAGAAATATATTTTTATTAGAACCTTTTCACTGGTGATTGTAAATGATGATTTTTTTTCTTCTTCTATACATTGTAAGTATTATCAAATATACTTTATTTTTCGTCGTGCTTGGTTTCTTTCATTTAATAATTACCACCAATCAATCATTATTTGTATTGACTGATATACCTAGAAATATACTATGTATACATATAATATATATTCATATTTGTTTTTATGACCATCAGTACTTGATAAAAAAAAATGACAAAGCGGTAATTAAGAAAAATGCACTTGAATTATTTTTTTTTTGACTTATCTATTCAATAGAAGAGATACGTTTCTCCTTGCTAGATCGAATACTTTATCCATGAAATCATTTGATGAATATCATATTCGAACTATCAACAATCAAATCGGCATAGACATATACAAAAAAAAAAGTATATTAATGAATATGACAATTATTAATTATGGTTATTTATTCAAATTTGAAGGTTGCAAAAAACAACACATTTAAGATGCTTTTGTCAATTTCGTTGGTTATGATTTATTGTTTTATCAATAAATTTTAATTTTATCTATGAAAAAAAACGTCTAAAGCAATGGATGAATATAACCTGGTCAGTTCGGTTAAGTTCAATTGTATGTGATAAATTTTATTTTGAAGGATACTCAATAATGTCCATCGGAGCGTATCCACACACGGCCAACGAAATAAAACGAATAATAAAAAATGAATGTCATACGACAGATAAAACAATGTCTATGCATCCTTCTTCGCATATCTAACCGCTTTTTTTTAATTCGTCTGGACTTTTCTTTTGTTTTCACATAACATTAAACAGTGATGGATGACAATCCTAATCCTAGAAAGAATGATAAGCGTTTTTTTTTTCCTCACACTCATTTGATTACTCTCATTGTCTTCATGATACAATAATGTATACTGGATAACTATGTTTCGTCCCATTTTTCATCCCTAGATAATTAAGTCCCTGATCATCCCTTATGATTGAAGAGAAAGAGAAAGAGAGAGTGAGAGAAAAAAAAAAAAAAAGAAATTGAACTGTTTATTTTCTAACATATAATTTATCTAATGATAAACGCAAGATAAGAAAGTTAAGTGAACGACATAGAAATGGTGTTTAATTTTTAATGATACTTGTTTTATACTATACGTCTACGTTTGATAGATTCTTTTTATAGACTTTTGTTTCATTTTTATACTTAAACTTGTGATTCTTCGGACTCATGTTGTTTATAAACACGTTCTTCATATCGACGTTCAATGAATTGAAATTCTTTGCATATCGATGTTGAAAAGTATGTAAATCCATTATGTAAGTTTTTCATATTGAATATTAATTTAGATTTATAATATTGTATGAAAATGAAAGATGTTAACTAATGTTGCTTATAGTAACATATATTTATCATTTTTCGTATTTTTCTTTCGTAGTGATTCACGACAAATTTAGGATAAGATCTTCATGAGACAGTATGAGAATAGGACGAATTGAGACTCAATTAGAACGAATCATATCATGATGAGACAAACAAGAAATAAAATGAACGGAGTTCAAATCAAATTTAGTTATCTATTTGATTAGTATAATAGGTTTTTTTTTTCTTATCATCCTTGTAGAATATGTTGAAAAAAGCACAATACAGTTCGATGCAAGAATTAAAAACTTCTAAACATCATCATAATCATCACCGCCATCATCATCATCATCATCGGTCAAAACGATCATCGCCTGCACCAATCATTGATGATAGTAATGATCAATATTTAGATCGAAATGGTTATCATCAAACATCTATTTCAACTTCACTACCATTATTATCCGAGGTTCAATGCTCTGCTTATTTTATTCATCGACTTGACTTAGATAGTTATGCGATATATACATTAAGACAAACTGTTGATAGAATTGTGTCAGGACCCAAATCAAAAGGTTCGTAGAAGAAAAAAACAAGCGAAAAAAATACTTATCATCTTTTTTTTTTTCTGTTCATAATAACTATCAATAATAATTTTTTTTTAATATTCTTATCTTGTCTATTCATCATAGGATTGAAAGTAAAATTATCCTTGCCAGATGAAGGTTTAGTTATTGACAATGTACCTGATCCAAATCAATCATGGATGTATAAAACATCTGAATTATTATTTTTTTGGCATGATCCTCTTTATTTAAGTATAATTATTGTTATAACTATTAATCCATCACATTATCGTACAAATGGACCTTATTCTGCATCAATATTTCGTTTACGTGGAAATGAATCAGCTCAATTATTTATTCAACGAGCACAACAATTTTTTGCTCATTTATCAACAGTTCCTATTACAAAAAGTGATTCTAAAAATTCAGATAGACAAGAACCTACAATAGAAAATTGGACTACTGATAATGATAAAAAACATCGTAGAAAAAGAAGTAAACATCATTCAGTAACAAAGAAACGATCAGATGTTGAATTTCCTCAATCAATACGAGCAAGTCCTGTTTGTACTGCTTCACGGACAGAATTTGAACCTGAAAAAACAAAAAAACTAAATTCAAGTTTAAATCAATATAATTATCGAACATTTAGTGAAACAACAATATTCAGTGATGCACCAACAATGAATTCTATGAAACTTAATAATCATAATAATGGTGATAATAATATAACATCATCAAATAATAATCTTTCAGATGGTTTAGTTGCTGAATTAATGCGTGAATTAAAAGAATTACGAAGTGAAATAGCTGAATTAAAATTAGAGGCAAGATTTACACCAGTACATATACCAAGTACAAGTCCATCATTTGTCTTTCCTGATGATATAAAAGGAAGTCTACATTCATCACCATCATCTACTAAATATCGATTACATTCAGATATTGATGCTGAAACACAAACTGATTTTAGTTTAATCAATAATAAACAACAACAATTATTAGAAAAAAATGAATCAACAATTAATGGATTAAATCAAGTTTCAGTAACATATCACAAAAAAAAAGATCGATCACATAAAACAGTTAATAGATATAATCCTTCAAATAATAATGAATCTGATCGTGAAGGTAAAATATTGAATATATTTATTAATTTTGAATGTTTCATTTAAATTCGAGGTTAAAAGAATTTTTATTAATGAGTCATAAGCTTCTTAGAACATGACAACATATCAAAAAAATCTATTTAAAATATCCATGTTAGTTGCTTCGAAGATACGAGATACCTTCTTTGTTTATTTAAACTCAGTAACTATCATTCCCTACACATTTATCAGAACATCCTAACAATCATTGTAAAAGTATGTGATTATAATTGACTTTTACCTGTAGAATAGTAATTGTTGGGTCAAACCTAGACTCGAGTATGTATAGGTTCTAACTGTCATTATACTAATAGTAATGTGAAACTCACTATCTATACATGGATACGCAGTATCGCAAGTATATCTTTTAATCAATTTTAGGAATTTATATTAGTATGTTCGTTTTGATAACGGGAATGACATTAAACATTGACATTCTTGAAATTTTTTCTCTTAAGTACTGTAGATGAAAATATATTTATGTACCAGTTGATTATGTTTATATTAATAATTAACTACTCTTCTAGTCATAATTATATTTTAATTCGAAATTTTGTCACATTACACAAGCTATAATGTAATTAGAAATTAATGTGTGTTACTAATAATGTCTATTAAGCGTTAAAAATGAGATAGAAATAGAAGTTTCAAAAATTATTCTTCTAGAGACGACACTATCGGAACAAACAATCTCATTAAAATTTTTCAAAATTTACAATTTCTACGATGTTTTTTTTTTCGAGAAAACTTTTTATTTACTTTCTTTATCAGTTTTAATATCTATCGTTATTTCTATTTTTCTCATCTGAAAAATTCTCGAATAATATTAGCTACCACCGTCACTATTGCATCGAAATAGAAATAACAATAAATATCATCAGTCTAAATCTTTTCTTATAAAAACAGACATCAATAAAAGTCGTCCTAGGAAACTTCTAATTTCATACTTATGCTCTTATTCAAACAACATACAAGTTTCTGTTTTGAGAATGTAGTTTTCAATGAAGCTTAGAGACTATACTGATCAGTATATTTAAGAACATAAGAATTACTTTATTTATGGAAGACGATATAAAAATTTAGATCCTCCCATAGATCATAACAGACGTTGTTGATATACAATTAAAGACTATATAAATAGCGTCTCGTTATAATCTATGAATTACTTCGCTATTGTATTTCTTCCGAAGAATGATGAAGAAATGTGCCTCAAAATAGGCAAAAATAATGCAATCTTCCTGTGATTCTCGCAAGAATTTTTGCTAATAGCTTTATATGATAAAATTTCAATTTTTGTTTTTGTAGAAAAATTTTTAGTAAATTTTTCTTCAACAAATGGTTCATTTAATGGAATAACTTCTTCATCTGTTCAAGAAGAATATCGATCAAAAACAATCGATATAAAACCACATGATTTATTAAGACCATCTGAAAATGGTCTTATTCATATGAATAATTCGACATCTTCTCGAACATTTGACAAAAGTCAACCTATATCAAATTCTAGTGAAGAAGATTTAACTTTAAAAATGACACCTTTAACTATTGAAAAAGAACTACAAAAATCTTTTTCAACAAAAGTTTCTTCTATTCTGAATGATACTAAATCTTCATTATCAAAAAAACATGAAGATATTGTAAGTTTTCATTCAAATTTAGAAGATACTGTTACACTTCCTCAACATTATTATGAAAATGTACCTATTTCAATTAATACTGATTCAAATCAAGGTTCTTTTATCAATCGAAATAATCAACAAGAAAAACCATCTCAAATTTATGTTAATATTGTTGATGATTCAAATCTTGAATTTCAAAAAAAATATTTAACACATTTATATGGATCACAAAATGGATCATCATTACTTCTTTCACAACAACCAATATCATATAATTCTTCTTCTTCTTCATTTTCAGAAGAAAATACTTCTGCTTCTATAATACAAGAAACAATATCAAATAATTATCAATATGGTCAACCAATTGTTTTTGCTAATCATTTAACAAATCCATTATTTAATATTGATAAAGACTTATTAGCAAATACAATAGCTAATCAATTTGGTGTTGATCATAATTCACCATATTTACCACAACTTATTGCAAATCAACATTTATTTGTTTCAGATAAACGTACATTTGCTAATATGGTTTGGCATATAACACCTGAAGAAGAAAATGCTCTATGTTCATCACCACTAACAATGACATCAAATAATTTTATTAAAAATACAAATGATTCAAATAATTTAATAGCTAAATCTATATTAAAATCAAATAAACTTTCTCGTTCTTTATCAAAAAAACAACGTATTACTTGGGATAGTACATTAGAATAGTTATCATTTTTTAATAACTATCCATTTGTATTATGTTTAGAAAATATTTTTGTTATATTATTGAAATAATTATCATTTTAATATATAATATTAATTATGTAAAAATATTCTCAATAGTTGTTTTTTGTAAAACACAATCGAAAAGAAGTATTAAAGTATACAAGGTAGATATTTGAAACTCCTAAAGATCCTTACAGATCATAATAGGAATCAACTGAATAACGACGTTAGTTATATGAATTACTTAGTTATTGCACTTTTGTATATATTCACATTAATGAAAAAATATATTGCATGTATCGTATTTTGCAACATCATGTAAGATGCATCAAAGTACGAGACGTTCGGAAAATGTGATTCAAATCTGTTTTTCGACATGTCTGTTATTTTTTCTACAAAACCAAATAGTTACTATTGTTTCAATTTCGATCATGGATTGATCTCTCGGTATGTACTTGACTGATGGTTAATCGAAAAATAATCTAGAAAAAACAAACATGTATGAAAATGCTCAAGTTCAGTATATTTCATTGCTTTGGTTATAGGTCAGTGAATGTACAAAATATAACAACACATTGTACAGGGGGGCCCAAAATTATAGAACCCCCTTTTATTTTTGAAAATTTTCAGAAAAGATGAATAGCTAGATCAAATCTAAATAGTGATTTAGATAGTCCTTGAAATTCTCTATCGAACATGGTATAGAGTAAAATTTGAAAAGAAACTTTATGAAGAGAATCGTCTCGAAAAACCGTGTCACTATAAATTCAAGTTTTCGAGAAGTTTGAAAAAAATACTTTTAAATACAGCCATCTGAAAGAGCAAAAAGTTCCGAGCAAAATGAAGGGTTGCCCAGATCTCCATGATGTTTCGTTGCAAAGTTATAAGCATCAGAAAATTCGAAAAATTGTATAATTTATCAAAAAAACGCAAAAACTCGGTTAAAAACATACTTTTTTCGAATTTTCCGATACTTATAACTTTGCAACGAAACATCATGGAGATCTGGGCAACCGTTCATTTTGCTTGGAACTTTTTGCTCTTTTAGATGGCTGTATTTAAAAGTATTTTTTTCAAACTTCTCGAAAACTTGAATTTATAGTGACACGGTTTTTCGAGACGATTCTCTTCATAAAGTTTCTTTTCAAATTTTACTCTATACCATGTTCGATAGAGAATTTCAAGGGCTATCTAAATCACTATTTAGATTTGATCTAGCTATTCGTCTTTTCTGAAAATTTTCAAAAGTAAAGGAGGGTTCTATAATTTTGGGACCCCTGTAATTTACTGTACTAGCTGAACATAATTCGAGAATTCATATTTATTTCTGATAGAAAATATTTCATTTTGTATCATGTCTTTTTTTTCGAAACGGAAATCATAATAAAAGTCGTTGCCATCTGTAATATTCAGATGCTTCATTATGGTGCTTGTATATGGCTCAATCATGGCTGGTGATATATAGCCGCATTCTCACTTTATCAAAAATAAGAATTCTTCTGAAAAATCTCTACTTACATCATGATATATTTTAAAATGTTCTAGAAAACTGATTCTTGAACATTTGTTCGATTTTAACGATCTTTCCAATATAATGCTAATCATATTTCTAACAATATTAGATGATTGTAAATCAATAAACATAAAGAGAAATGAAATGAATCTAATCTGATGAATATAGTTGAGTTAATTCCAATGCATTTTTATTGATTCAAACTCGTCAACAGCATAGAAGAACGCTGAGGAGGCAGCCATAAAAAGTTCTTAATAAGATGCCAACACATCAAAGGAAAGGAGCGAAGGAAGAAGAATTCAATTTTATTTTTGTTCAGCAGTTCTTTATTTACACAATCTACCTTCATATTGCTACTCACTGTACAGACACGAATCGAAATAGAAAAACAGTGAAAGCAACAATAATAAAAGTACTTTTGTGCGTCTTAATGTTTTATTGTCTCGTTCTTTGTTGATTTTTCTTGTTTGTCATCGTTGCATTTTCAGAAGAAATCCAAACGAATTATGCAATCAACTCTGCAATGGGGTTGTGTTGGATGGGGTTTGAGTGTGGGTCGCTGTGTGTTTTTTATTTACACCCACATCCACACTCTTATTGCATAATAATTCATCTTGATTTTGCGTTCAATATATGAGATAATAAAAATAATTCTATTGATCAACTGTAAAAATATTAAAAAAATGTATTTGTATATCTTGGCGCTTTAATCAATCATATTTACAGAATATTTTCTGTTTTGTCATACAATTATGTTGCTTATTGTGTAATGCTTGGTGCAATAGTAATCGGTAAATAGTTTTAAAAAAAAAATAGATAATTAAATCCAATATCTTCATTTCATATCGGTTTTTTTCTACTTTCATATATATTAAGATAATGGTACAGGTACATGTAAATCAGGCTTTAGTGGTGAAGATACACCTCGAGCTATTTTTCCAGCTATTGTTGGTCGACCAAAACATCAAAGTATTATGCTTGGTATGAGTTATAAAGATTTGTATGTTGGTGAAGAAGCTCAAGGTCGTCGTGGTATACTTTCACTTCAATATCCAATTGAACATGGTATTATTATGAATTGGGATGATATGGAAAAAATTTGGCATCATGTATTTTATAATGAATTACATATTTTACCAGAAGAACATCCATGTTTAATAACTGAAGCACCACTTAATCCAAAAATAAATCGAGAAAAAATTACACAAGTATAATTATAATATTTAAAAAATAACGAAATGAATTTTTTCAGAATTGATTGTAGATTATGTTTGAAACTTTTAATATACCAGCTATTTATATTGCTATTCAAGCTATTCTTTCACTTTATTCTTCAGGTCGAACAACGGGTATTGTTAATCATTGTCATAACTCTAATGAATTTACTGACGAGAGAATGCTTTCAGTTGATCATTTGCTTCTGAATCGAGATAATGTATATTATGCAAATGTAAATGAACTATGAACATCTTGATAAGAGTCCGTATCCTTAATTTATTGCTGCGTAGACATCACATTTTAATCGTATTTTATAAATCAATGCTGTGGTAACGAAAAAACTGATTTTTGAATACATATTGTATAGAGCATCGACTCAAAAGGGATTTCCAGTTGGGAAACATCTCTCGCTAGATATCTATATGTTGATTTGCTAGACTAACAAACATTTTGCAATAACCGTTTTGGATCTACTCGTGAGGATAGATTCTCTAGTGATAAATCGTTTTTGCTACGATATCGAGCTCTTAGTAGCCTTTTCCTCCAAGAACGTCAGTTTGTCAGCAAAATCATACCTTTGAATATCGACCTGAGACTTCGCCCATATAAAAATCTTGATCACACTAGCTTGTAGAAAAAATATTGAAACATTCATAGATCAACGAGACTTTGCCAAAGAATTGTGAAATTTTTTTCTACAAACGAGTCTAATCAAGATCTTAGTGTAGGCAAAGTCTCAAGTCAGAATTTCACTACGTTCTATCGATTGAATAAAGACTCAGCTTAAAAGCGATGTATCATTTAGAGACCTTTTCTCATCAGATTATAGAACACATCTAATTATTAATAAGACAATAATTTTTTTTTCTATTTTTTCAAAAATGAGCTTTAAATAAAATGATATCATCTTGATTATTTTCACATTGAAACGTTGATATGTATCTGTTGGGATAATTAAAGTGACTGTATTTTCTACAAAAAAAATGATTTGATATACATAGGAAGATCTTCACGAATTTCTTACAGTGATATTCGAAATCAACAGAGTACCCAAGCAAAATTCTGTGATATATTGATAACAGGCTACCCGAAAAAGTGACCTGCTGATAATTGACTCTGTATATTCACAAATATTGAATAACATAAATTATTTTGTTATAATTAGGTGTTGTTCTTGATTCGGGCGATGGTGTAACTCATAGTGTACCAATCTATGAAGGATATTCCCTTCCACATGCAATTGTTCGTCTTGATTTTGCTGGTCGAGATATAACAAATTTTCTTATTCAATTATTAATGAAACGTGGTTATGGTTTTACAACATCAGCTGAACGTGAAATTGTTCGAGATATGAAAGAAAAATTATGTTATGTTGCATTTGATTATGAAAAAGAAAAATTAACTAGTATTAAAACAAATATAATCGAACGTAATTATGAATTACCTGATGGACAAATAGTTCATATTGGTTCTGAACGTTTTCGTGCACCAGAAATTTTATTTAAACCATCAATTGTTGGTTTAGAAATACGTGGCATACATGAAACAACATATTCATCAATAATGCATTGTGATATTGATATTCGTCGTGAACTTCTTCATAATATTGTTTTATCAGGTGGTTCAACGATGTTTTTAAATATTCATGAACGATTACAAAATGAAATTGTTCGAATGACTCCAACATCTGTTAAAATTAAAATCATTGCACCACCACAAAGAAAATATTCTGTATGGATTGGTGGTAGTATTCTATCTACACTATCTACTTTTCAACATTTATGGTTAACAAAACAAGATTATAATGAATATGGACCAACTATTGTTCATAGACGTTGTTTTTAGTTTTGAATGAAGATGAAAATTTTTTAAGGCATTTGCTTTTTTGAAAAGAATAAGTCAAATAAGTATCAATGGAATGTTGTGGTTTTTTTTTTTGAGAACACTTTCTTATAGTCAATTAAAGATTAGCTTCAGGTTGACGTGTGGCTAAAGAGAAGATCCACACTTTCATATAGAAATATTTTCGTCATAAGACATACAAGCACTAGTAATTTCTTCTAGACAAAAATAATCTGAAAAAAACTAATGTTTTCAGAAATTGTTTTCATAATAAGAAGATTGAACAATCTGAAATCGTCACAAGAAAATGCTTTTTCTTGAGTTCTACAAATAAAGTGCAAAAGAGTTATTTAGTAAAACACATCTGTTTGAGAAAATCTTTGGCTACCAATGATTAATTGCAATTAGCGTTGTTCTTTGATTAAAAGGTCTATGTTCTTTAGTCTATCATTCATTTATTTCACAATAAATGAAAGACAATAATTTTTTTTTTTTTATTTTTACAAAAATGCTTGCATAAATGACCTTTTTAACTGCTATACGTATTATTCATTTATATTGACATTAAACTATTTAGTTCGATTATTCATAATTGTCAATTATATCAACTATTTTACCTTTGAAGGATAAGGACAAAAAAATAAGTTATTTTTAGTCGATTAGCTCGATCATAATAATAAGATAAAACAAATATTCATTCGATATTTTTTTTCTCATTATTGATATTGACAAAAAAACATTGTATTAGCAATTTATATCTAACTTCACATTATGCAAATCGTACATTTGCTTATAGTGTATATTATCAATGGATTCAGTGCATGGGCTATACCAAATCGTCGTTCAATTGATCTTTTTACAACTAAAAGTCCATTGCCGAATTGTACAGAAAAATATGGTGATCAACCGGCTACACCTACTGTTTCATTAAATAACATATTAACCATTCTAAACTTATGTGCTAATATATCAGGATATGTTATAACACTTAATTGTACCGATTCGAATGGTGATCCACGTCAAGCATGTCTTCTCGTTACACCATCGTCAGAACCATTACCTCTACTTGTTTGGCTTCATCCATCGTTCTTTCCAGCAGGGACAATACTTTTTACTAATCTTGTAGTTGAAGCAAGTAAAGCTAATTTAACAGGTACAGCTGATGGTCCACTTGGTTATCATTTACTTTTACCATTCGGTCGTAATACAACTCATATTTATCCTCCACCAGATGATCAAGGACTTGGATGGGATAATTGGTATCGAAATTATAATCGATCTGATCCAAATTTAAATGTTGATGTACAAGCAATTGATTGTTTTATAAATCAAACCGTTAATTATCCATCAAGTGATTTTCAAATTAATAAAACTCGTATATTCATGTCTGGTTGGAGTAATGGTGCAGCAATGGCAGTTGAATATGCACTCAATACACCTGGAATAGCTGCAGCAGCTGTCTATTCAGCACCAGATCCTTATCAAGATTATCATGATCCATGTAATCAAACGGCTTATCCATCTCATTTTACACCTGTACGTATTTTATATAATCAATGTGATGTTATTAATATTTGTGTGACTGGTATGGCATTCATCAATGGTTTAAAAAATCGTTATCCGACTGAATTGATCGCTGAAGGTATAATTATTGACTCGTTATATCAAATAACTTCAACATGTAATCCATTATGTACCAGTGAATTAGGTCTAGGTTTAATACAACATTCTAGATGGCCAACATCACTCAATGATAAAATTTTCTTTGACTTTTTTCGACAACATTAATTAGTTTTATATTAATCTTTAAGTTAGAAAGAAAATAAAATATCATTTTCGAAAAAAAACATATAAGTCTTGCCGCAGAACATATTATGCATAAAGCAAGAGAGTTTAGATGAATAATTTTCATGTAAATGATTTTCGGAACAAACATACAAAACAAAACCTAAAGGATATCTGTCATTTATTTTACATTTGTATATAAAAATTTAATTTATTATGAAAAACATTTATTTTGAGATCAATATCAAAATTATACAAAAAAAGAAAATGTGTACATGAGTTGATCATACTTCGTATTGAATATACAACGACCATATCTTTCTTTCTTTTTTTTTTTTCAATATAAATGTATAAATAATTTCATCTGTTACATAAGAGAATTATCAAAGATAAGTAGAATAATACTTCTTATACATAAAAGTACACGAAAAATTATTTAAATACGCACAATGAATTCTCCATTAACATGCATAATACGCATTAAATTTCCTGTTGGTTGCGTTTTTTTTATAGTAGATTTTACTTTTGAACTTGAATTATTATTAGTTAAAGTTTGTTGTTGATTAAATTTTAAATCTGTATTTGTACGATTTAAACGATGAATTGATACTGCATGTTGTCGTGATGGTGGAAGTGGTGGTAATAGTGAAATAGATCGATCTAATTTAATTTTTTCATTATCATAATCATTATGATTTGTATTTGATAAATAAGATTTACTAATATTTGATACAGGCGGTATTGTTAAATGAATATTTTCAATTGATGATTGATATCGTTTATGATGACTTGACATTGTTCGTGCTAATGTCCATGTTTGTTCTTGTTCAAATGAACTCGAATATGGATAGTCTATTTTATTAATATTAACAATTGAACAGTACGTACAATATTGACGTTTATGTATTTTATTATCATTATCATGCAATGATTGTTTTGTACACCATTCGACTTGTTCTCGAGGCATCTCAATTGTTCATTAAAATGGAATCTATAGGTATGTATACATTCTCATATTGAATAATACATAAGAAAGAAAGAGAAATATGAGAATTAAAAGAGACCTGCCCTTCTTCTCTTTTTATTATAACTTAACAGGTAGACTTTTTTCTTTTTCTTTTTTTCTTTTTTTTATTTCTACCTTCATATATTGCACATATGTAAGACGACGAATGATCATGTGAGTTGAAAAAAAAAAAGAATGTAGTTATTCTATAGTAATCATACAATTGCCCGTAATGTTATGTTAAGAAGAAACGAAAGGACAACGAATCAAAAAATTGACTGGACACATATTAGTAAAGGGTATACCCTATAGCGAGACAACTTATGTTCTTTTTTTCTGTCTTCTTTTTACTTATGAAAACATTTGATCATGATATAGTTTATGACTAAATATAAGACAAAGTCAAGTGGAATATTTCAAGATAGACAAACAATTGTCTGTCTCTCTCTGTACATATATATATATATTGATGCTCGATTATAATGAAATCCATAAATGTACAAAGAGAACAAAGAAATGACTTGAACATAGAAGGTCGACTATAATAAACCACATCAATCATCATATATTAAAGAAAATATAACAGAAGTATTATATTATTTTATTAAATGATTTTTGCTGATGCATTGTATTTTTTTTTTTCGTACAGTTTCATTCAAGTTTATGAAAAAAAAACATGAAGTTTAATACACATACTGTCTTAATTTATTGACATAAGAACAACGTTGAAATTCTTTCTCTTTTATTCTCAAATATTCATTCTATACTTCATGTTGAGATACTTAAAACGAAAATATAAACTAAGCCAAAAAATCTACTATAAATGTATTGTTATGTGATACTAAATATGATCGAAAATTTTTAAGCTCAATCTTAATCATAAAAGGATTAGTCTCAATCAACAAGGATCATTTTATCTAGTAAATTGAAGAATATGATGCAATAAAATGATATACACTGTAGAATTTTGCATCCAGATCAAAGCGTTAGATTCAAGAAGTTTTCTTTCATGTCTGCCATAGCTCTGTAACAGAAAGAAGTGTGTCATTGATGAAAATTTGTCAATGTATTGTTCAAAATCAAGGTGAACGATTTGAATGACGATGCTGAAATCAGAAAATCAGTTTTTTGAACTTTTTCTAAGATTATCCATCGTAAAGAATCGAGCAAAAATGTGTGAAACAGCAAGTGCTGCAAGCTTTCGATCAAATGGACGTATGCAATATACTTCGTTTTCAATCAGTGTTCATCTAATTACACAATTGTTTTGACATTATTATGTTAGAAGAGACACCATCTAACGTAACATCTATATCATACTCGATACCACATGTTTCTTTATTTTTGACATAGTTCTTCAGAACAATGGATCTTTTATTTCCACAGAAATGCTCCGATTTTTTCGAGCTTTTTCAAAAAAAAAACTGAGGTCAAAAACTGATAAAAAGAAATTTGAAAAATTAAGCTTTATTAAGTTATAGTGATCAATATTGGTTACATTTTGATGCTATACTTTACTAGTGTTATCAGAAAGTATCTCAGAGACAGTATTAAATAGTTATTGCATCCTTGAGAAATATTATCATTATTAAAGTTTCTTTATGAAAACATATAATGTTTGTCAGATTTTTCATGCTTTCTTTGTCGAAATGCATTCTGCGCAGATAACATCTACATTTTATCTGCCTTTCGAAAAATCTATTGAATAGCAAAACGATGATCTTCAATCATTTTCACGGTAGAATGTTTTTCAATCAAAATGCTATAGAAAAGTCGTACAAGATTCTTCTCAAGGAACGGTATTGTCCAAAGTTAATCATATAAAATAAACATATGTCGAGATTAATTTGAAGAAAACCATAAAATATGAGCCCTTTTTGTTTTAATATTTTCTCACAAATATCACGGCGAATTATTATGCAAACTAAGCGTCAGCAAAACTAATAAATTTAATATATGAACTGCCCGTAATGTACACAGACGAAGATATATTCAAATTTAAAGGTATTTCCAATGAAATATACTACGCCCATAAATGGAAATTTTAGCAGTATTTATTTCTTACTCCTCGTTATGTTTAGATACAGTTCATTGAATCATACAAGAAAAAATATTTTTCAAATACGTACTACGTATGATGAACTCTATGAAAATAGAAATTCGTTAAATATGTTGACAGCATTTCAGACTAGTCAAAGAGTTTGTTTTCGATTATTTTCACTTATATATCATAAGGCTTGTCGAATACTGAATACTATCGGATCAAATGTTCGAATCCATCGTTTTGTCTCTTTTCGTTTCTCTCACTGTTCTGTTGTGTCGACTAGATGAAATTCGTCGAAAAAACAATCAATGCTAAAAGATGTTTAAGACATTTCAGACTACACCTGACAGATTAGTACGGATATTACCCCAAATGTATAAGAACTCATAGGCATTTCCTAAAAAGTTATAGTCATTTGACTGAAATTATAGACTTTAGTATGGTATATACACAAGAATTGAATGACAATAATTTAACTTGAAATTTTGCCTACAGGTAGGCTTCGTTGTAATTAGAATGTTGGAGAAATTTTAGCTTAAAAGGATTCTTCCTTCAAGAGATATTCAACTCGAAAAAAATCACTCATGTTCCGCGAAAAATTTTGGGAAGTTCATGTTTTTTTTAAAGGTTTCAATATCTCATGACAGGAACAATCTTTTGAGCTGAAACTTTCAGAACATTCTAGTGACTAGTAGATCTCTCCATGGACGAAACTTTAGGACACAATATTATTATTCTATCGTTTTGTATACATAGTACTGGAGTCTAAAATTTCAGTAAAACAATTGTAGCTTTGTAGGAAAAGTCTAGGAATCCTTGTCATTTTGAAATTAACCTTATGCACATGATTCGAATTCAAAAGATATTTTCAAGTTTCCAAGGTTCCCTCGTTAGTTCTTTAACATGGTATAATGTAAATTGTTCATCATCATATTTAGTAGTATGTTCCTACTAGTAATTTTCCAATTTTTAAACCAGTAGGGATCCCTGATGAGTTTCCTCTTATTGAAGTAATTTTGAGTGCGTTTTATGTTACATCAAGGAAATGTTTCGATATTTTCATCAGTGATTAAATTCAAAAAGTTATATCATCTAATAAATTTAGCAGTTTGATGTTATGTGAAACACCAATTACGTTTTGCTGAAAATCGTCTTATTTATCTACTTTTTGTAGCAGTAGACGCACTAATAATTATGATTAAGTGCATTAAACTCATTTCGAAAGACACAAGTTATTTTTCGAAGAAAATTTGCAAGAGACGTATAAAAAATGAAAAAAATGATCAAACCGACCTGAAAATTTCAGAGGTTACTAAACTAATGGCCATTTACAGCCGATAACTAAATTAAGAATCCTTCAAATACATACTCTTATTAGTGACTATTTCAATTTACAAAATACGAATGTTTCTATGTGCGTGTGACAAAAAATTGAGAAATGATCATCGAATAAATTTAAGGACTTCAACAATAGTAAAATAGTGGAAAAAGAAGGATATCAATATTGAATAATTTTTATCGTTTACTTTCTTGTCTCTTCTTTGAAATTCACATTAGGTGTTAGCTGTAAACGTGCAAATACACTAGGGTGTTCTTCTTTATTAATGTTATTCAGTTCAAAACTCTGAAATACAGGCATGTTTTGATATAAATATACTAATAAAACCTCCAATTTTGTAAGTAATTAATTAAGAAAAATCATATATTAATTTGAGGCAGAATCCTCTTCAAGGTGAGTATTCCATTGTAGGCAGTGTTTAATGAATGATGATACCGACGTATCATGAAAGTTGCTGTGCTAATCATTGAATCATATTAGCATGAAAGTAAATGGTAAAATATCGACATATATTTCAGTTAATTTTGAATAGTTGATTACACGTGAGATACTGTGTTGTTCTTTTTTTTAAATTCGAATGAAAATATACATAATCTATTTTAATATGCTGTAATCTGTATGTACAACTATATACTAACATGTATTTTTCTTTTTTTTTTATTTAATAACAGTAATAATTAGGACATGTTAGAAGTAAAATTATAAACAGAAATAAGGTGGGTTATATTAAAATTGTGTTTTGGAAAAAATAATCGTGAATTCAAGCATTCAACTCAACTCAACGATTAACGGATAGTGCATAACAAATGGTTCAGCATGTTTGCCTCTTTTTAGAACACTTCCAAATGCATTTAAGACTTCGTTTTTGGCTACATTTAAAAAATGAACATCTACTCAATAGTCTAACTGCGATGGTCAAAAAAAAACGAAAAATATTTCATAAAGGTTTCTTTAAGATATTCACTAATATCTTTATCGTGCTTTTATTTTAAACCTGAATGACCTGCACACGAGTGCATTTCAAGAGAAAAAAAGCTTATTTTAATGAAAAAGTATTTGTTTGTAATTTAATTGATGGACATATTTGAATATCTTGATTTCTTTTAATTCTTGGTAATTTATCATCACTGAGAAAAATTTCATTCGACTGAATCATTGAATGTTTATCAATTCGTTGTTGTTGTAAATGTTCGTTTGCTTCATTGTCTTGGAATTTTGTATCAACATATTCTAATAAAATATCATTTTGAATTTCGTCAGAATCTAATGTAAATCGTGGAATATTATCTGGTGATGATGCTAATGGTAATAATGAGTAGATAATAGCCTAGAAAAATGAATAACTGAATAGTTTTCTTTGATCAGTAAAGTAGGATCTTTTTTATACCTTTCCACCATGAATTTGTAAATGATTGAAGTTTGATATTGGTCTATGTTGCATATATTTTCGACTGTATTGACCAAGTATAGGCATTGTTATACCTAAATTCTCTCGTTGATTTTTAAGCATTGTTTCAACGGATTTTTTTTTAGTAATTGGAATAAAATTTACACGATCTAATTTAATTATTTGTTGAAGACGTTCTCGACGTTGTATCCATTCTCGTTTTTCTTCAATATCTAATTTTCGTACATGATTTATTGTAGAATCATTTGATTCATGATGAATATTTGATTGTGGTTGTATATGATTTGATGTCTTTTGAATTTCAGAATCTTTATTTTGATCTGAATATTTTTAAAATTTATTGAATAATGTTAAGACAAACGTTACATACAAAAATATCGAAAAATAGGTAATGAAGTCCATGCAACAATCGTATGTTTTAATAATTTCCATCGTTTTCCAACATCACCGCGAAGTAATTCAAGTGTTGTAGCTGAACCAACTCGACGTATATCTTCAGGAATTTGTTTTGGTAAACTATAGATATATCGTGATATGACACTTACATGTAAAATGAATTTATTTCTCTGTTTATCTTTATTCACAGTTCATCATTGTCTCAAACTTTGACTAACTATTCTGCTTCCCTAGTATTGGATGCATTGAAGCTATCAATATAAATAAAAGAAAGGGTGTGCGGGTCTATGTATGAGAAAAAGTCAATCAATCTATATATATTCTTTTGATTTATTAAGGTGACCGATAAACATTTTTTTCAACTATCTAGACTTGCTGGAATTTCTAGAAGAGATGTATTTCGAGTTAGTCACCTTATAATGCAAGTTTCAAATCGATATATGGAGTTAACGAAGAATTAGCTTAAGATTATGGGTCAAAATATAGACGCCCATTTGTACCACACTTCTCTACCAGTTCAAATCTTAGAAAATTCTGATTGGTTTTAAAATGTAACCAAGATGTGGTAGTACAAATGTTTATTGTAGAAACCTAAAACTATTACCTGAAAAATAATTTTGAGCTTTCCTAAAAGCCTCACTTTCTTGTTATTATGAGAGAAATACAAAATGGTTCGTAGCCAAAACTGGGCTTTCAGGATCTTGTACATCCTCGTAGGAAAGTCAAAACTGTAAATGGCTGATAAAGAAATGGTTAAAAAAAGAGGGGTGTGCCCTTAACAAAGTTCAATTTTCCTATTTTTCTTGAAAGCTCTTTAGATAAAATCCACAAAAATTAAGGTATAGGTTTCTCTTAGTTTCAATATTGTACCTAAAAATTTGAACGAATCAGATGAACATATGTAGGGATGTGTCTGTGAAGTCTTTAGTTCATCTACATAAACATGTTCATTCTATTCTAAGTTTTTTCATATTTGTGTATTGTATTCATTGATCATTATTAGCAATATATGAATACCATGCCTATGAATGGTAAAAGTTAATAGAAAAGCTTGAGAGGCTTTACATATCAAAGTTTTCAGGAAAAACCTTTTTCATTTCTTGTATCTCTGTTCAATAAAAAAAAATGATTTATTAACCTACTAATGAGCAGATAGTTATTGATCAATCGTATGCATTCATTAGATAAAAAGGAGTTCATTCAATTAGGTTTTCGCATAAGAAGAACCCTATTTGGTAAGACATACGATTTGTTTCTCTTAGTAGCTTATTCTCCACAAACCAGTACTATTTGAATGTAGATTAGAAGAAAAATATGTTAATATTCGATTTTTTTCTTCAATTAATTTCATTTGTTTTTCTTTTGAATCAGGTTGCTTGTAAGCATAATCACCAATAAACCATAGGGCTACATATCCAGCTGTATCAGCTAAGATTTATCAATAATTTATTGAGAAGAATATTTCGGATAAACTTACATGTAAACAATAAATTACATTTTTCATCTACACACATTGCCAGAACATGTTCTAAAAAGAAAACTACTTATTTACAGAGAAAAAAGATTTAATAAACAAACCTTGAGATTTTCTCGCTCCATTAAAAACAGCAATTAAACGTCCAATTACATGTATAGACCACCACCAAATCCAACCCATACTACCAGCAGTAATAAGAGTAGCTGATGAAGGATTTATTTCACGTGTAAGAAGAAAAATTAATTGATCCAAATGATAATCAGATGATATTGTTGATTGATTGAATTCATTATCAATATTAGATTTTCTAAGATATTTCATAATCAAAACATACAAATAATAATAAGAAGAAAACATACAAAACACTTTCTACAGATATTTCATAATTTGTTCGAAGACGATTTAATAGTGATTGACGAATTCTATTATAATAACCTTTTTTTTCATCCAACCGTTCTGTATTATCTGCCTCACGTCTTTTAAATTTTTTAATTCTTCGACGAGAAAAATATTTTGGAAAATTAGCTTGAATAGCACCTTTTGTCTAAATTTATTTATTAAATAAAATTATTCTTTTAGAAAACATACCGTTTGTTTATAAAGCCATGAGAGTGATATCAGTTTTGGTTTAACATCTTGAACTGAATTTAATTTCATAAATGGCATTCCTGTTTCAATAGTCCATAAAATAATATCACCATCATAACTTGCTAAAGATTAATTATCGAAAAAAGAGATGATTTCGAATACTTTTTTTTATGTTACCAGTAGCTAGAATATTCATCATTATACTCATCGATAAAATATCATCGTTATGTAATGATCGAAATTCATCAACTAATTAAATTAAAAATTAAAAAAGAAATATCTAGAAGAATTTAGATTCTTTCTGAGATTTGACTAAATCACCGAATTTTTAATATGCCTATTTCTTAGAGGCTTCAGATTTTCAGACAAGTCGTATTTTTGAATATTCATCTGGAACTTTGTTCATATAGAGAACTCACAAGTTTTGAACAAAGCCTCTTCGTGATATAAAGCTGTTTTTAAAAGATGCATGTTGTATACACTATCCATGGAAAAGGGTTTATATCTGGAAGGTCTGATATTTTGAAGAGACTTTGTAGAAAATTTTTGCATTTTTTATGGAAACCAGTTCAGATGAGTTCCGAACATTTGAGAAGTTGCAAATCAAAGTTTGAAAATACGAGTTTTCCGAAAACCTGAGCTTCGGGAAAATAGGTATATTAAAAACTCGATAGTCTAGTCAAATCTCAATATGAATCAAAGTCCTTTTATAGTTTTTATTAGAACACTATTTAGTAGCTAAAGAGAAAACACCATGGAAATCTGAAGAGGCTTCCTCGTACGTGAACCATACTCGTATGACACTCTGAACGGTTTGTTGAGGTTAAAAATATAATTCTATTCAAGTTTTAATGTTTATTCAAGAACACATATGATGCTAGAGCTCTATATATTTATATTTAGACAACTAAGTAAGTATAGTTAGTACATGTTAATCTCTATGTACGAATTTTGTTTATAAAGTAAGACTTTTCATAGTATAGAAAGATTTACGTAGAGTATTGCATAGGTTTTAATGAGAGCAGATAAACCAAGTTATATAGATGAAAAATAAACAAAATTACCGTTGCCAAGACGGTCAAAAAATAGATCTGTACACTGTCATTTTATACAATTGGAAATCATAAATAGCTATAAATTAACGGTAGATAGACGCGAACTATGTTTATATGACCATTCAAAGCATATTACTTCAGAAACTATACATCGTATTGTTCAAAGTAAAAATCACTATTATCCAAAATGTATATTAATCATTTGTTCGAAATTTCATACAAACCTTGTCGAATAACAACTGATTTACCCAAATGAAATACTCGAATACGTCTTGACCAACCAGCAACAAATAAACGTTCATTTTCATGTAATAATGTTGTTATTTCTTTTGCATGTATTCCATTTGAATTAACACGATAAAGATTATGACCATTATTAAAATTCCATAATGCTAATGAACCATCATGTGCACCTGTTATTAAACGACGTTTAGATTCATCTAAACACATTGTTGTTATTTCTACAGCATGTTCATTATATTCATCAAATTGTGTAACATGTGCATTTAATATATGCATTATTTTTTCACCTGTTATTATATTCCATATATTTATAGTTGAACCTTCATCACATGATATAATAACATTAAATAAAGGATTATATAATATTTTTGTTATTGGATATATATGTGATGTTCGTTCATTATGAATATATGATTCATTTATATGTGATAATGAAAGAAGTTTTCTGTTGCCTATAATTAAACGTTGTTGAGTTGGATTTAAATAACATATTGTTAAATCTTGTCCAGATAAATCAAAAATTGTATGTGATATTCGTTGAATTATTTTTAATGTTTGAACATCCCAAATAATAATATCTAAATTAATTTATGATTTGAGATTTCAAAATAACAAAAAAAATCTTACTTTTTCCTTTATCAATACTAATTATATGATTTTCTCGATTATCGACAACTAAATGAGTAACAGAAGAATTATGTCCACGTAATATAGCAGCAGCTCGTTCTGTAACAAATGGATCCCAAAAACGAATAACACCATCATTACTACCAGTGACTATTGATCGATGAGCCTTTTTAATTTAAAAAAAATACGCATACATATGACTAACCATTAAACAGATACACTCAGGTCGGAAAATCTGACGTAAGCTCTTGCAATCTGGACGAAATCTTACAAGAATCTGACAAAAAATCGTAGTCTAAGAAGTCTTGCATCAGATCATACTATTAGATTTATGAAAGATCTTACACGGTAACAGGGTCTTTCAAGAATCTTGTAGTACGACGGAGCAACAAAATTCTTAGACGACGATTTTCTGTACAATTTTCATCTGATCTTACGAAATTGTACAAGATCAGAGGTGCGATCTTGTAAGATCTTACTGCCTGATTGTTTGACCTGGGTAGTAAATCTATACACAGCGGAATAAATAATCCAAAAACTAAGATGCTTTTGTGATTGCCTATGTACTTTCAAGAAACGTTTGGGTAATTATTGAAGCATCCAACACTGTCTCAATTGGTTGGATAGTTTTCGAATCTCGGAACTTATATTTATGGATTGGATTCTTTGCCGAATATTTTGAACGTTAATAAGACTTCTAAAAAATTGATTTCAATCTTCGTAATACAATTTAGAAAAAACATCTATTCCATTCTTTCATATCTTTAGTGAATATTCAGTTCTATTATTATACTTTTTGTCTTTTATCAATGTAAGAGAAGCAAATATTTTTATTCAATACCTTACAATAATCAAAAAAAGCAAAACATTTCTTCGTTACAGCATATTTTTCCATTTTTTTATTTAAATCTCCAATATATAAATTTCGTGTTGATGCTAATGCACATGATACAAAGAAATCTAGATCATCAATCCATTTAACTTGAACAATCCAATCATTCTGTAAATTACAAAAACTAATCACTGATACTGTTAAATATTCATTATTAACAATTCGTGGAAATGAATAATTTCTTCTTGAATCTGTTTTCATATAATGTGTTAAATCAGATATATGAAACATTGGTCTATATGGATCTTTAGCTTGAAATATAAATAAATTTCCTAATGAATCTTCACAAAGAATTGTTGGTTGAGAAGAGTTTTTTATATTCATATGATAATCAATGGTTGTTAAACTAGCTGGAAAATGATTTATTATAATAGAATCTGTATATGTATGTGAATTTATATCATAAAAAATTAAATCACGTTCTGTTGTTGCTATAGCAAAACAATTCATATCTGACAGAACACATGTACAAGTTATCCATAATGGAAGAGTTCTATATAGAAAACAAAACTAAATTAAGGAGGGATAGTTCCCAATTTATACATCATTTCTAAGCGAGAAGTATTTTCAATTGAAAGAGTCTAGTGAGTAGGAAAATATTTTAGAGTGAACCAAGCTGTTGGATCTTTGTTACTCAGATATCGAATATTTTAGTAGTTTTTTTTCTGGAGGGCCACAGTTTTCAAGTGACACTATATTTATGGATTTTGATCTGAAACTTTGTTCAAACATGGATATTTTGAAAGATTCATACCTTCGAAAGGCTTTGTCAAACGATTCGGAAACTCTTTCTATAAGCTATCCTTCAGGAAAAACTCACTAAACATGCGAAATC